CATGATAGACGGAGAAAAGATTGAATTGTCAATAATTTCATTTCACTTGGATCCATAATCAGCATCCATAGTAACAGCAGTCAAGAAACCCACAGACATGTTGCTTTGGGATGCTGAAATTTCAGCTCACATACTTTAGATATGCAGTCAGGATGTGTCAGTCCTTGGAAAAAGACATAATGCTTGGAAAAATAGAGTTGATGAAAGAGCAGAAGGCCCTCAATGAGATGGATTGACACCATGATTACAATAATGGGCTTGGGCATGGAGGAGTTTATGAGAATGGCACAGGCCAGAGCAATGCTTCAATCTGTTCATAGAGTTGCTATCGTCAACTGGGCAGCACCTACCATCAACTTTTCTACTACAAATTCATCTTTAATGTTAAACTTGGGCAACAGAAACCCTTTCATAGTAATGAGTCTTCACTGCTGACACAAAATCACTCACTATGAATTTTGACTGCTCTTTTGCTGGGCTTGAAATGCCATACTACTTATTCCTCAGTCATACACAGCAGCAATCACACAGGATTATAATTGTAGCCACAGAACATATCTTATGTACATAAGTGTAATGTTAATAGTCACTTGTGTGTCTGTATTTTCAGATTTGACAGAAACTTGAGGGTAATTTAGATGTTAATATTTCTTTTCTTTTCAAACTCATATCACAAATATGGTTGCTGGCATTGAGAAAAGACCCCAGAAATGTTGACCGAATAAATGATCACATTGCCATTGTGCCTATTGTAACTTATAATGATCCTGTAGGACAGAGTAAAACACTCATTCTCATTTTCTGTCTCTGAGGTTCCTTGGGAAGCTGCTATCCCAGTTGTAGTATCTGCTACACCTGCTTAGAGCCTGTTTAATTGTGTGCATTTGAAGAAACAGACTTCACTTTGCCAGTCTTCATGATCGAGACCATTTACCATATATGCATCCATATAATTGTATCAAAATCCATGTTACTTCCAAAACACTTTCCTGTTGATTTCAGCATTAAATTGCTGAAAACACTTGGTATCAACCAAAAAAATGTAAAGCAAACAATAATTCAGTCATGAAATGGTTAAGCTTCTATTGGTATTGTGGGCTATATGATATTTGGTAAAAAAAGTTTCTGGTTTTCTTTCTAACTAATTTTATGACTTCGAGAATGTCAGATGACTCAAAGTTTTCTTTTTCTTATCATGTGACATTGTTGTAAATGATCTCATTTTTATTTTTTAAATAAAAGAAACATACTAAGAATGCTGAACAGAGACACATGTTGCCAGAGATACAGTTTATTGGAAAACCCACCCAAAAATTATTTTGCTTCTTTGAAAACACCAGTATAAGAAATAGGATGAAAGGAACAACATGATCAAGAAAATAGAGTTTAAAGTCCTTAAGATTTCAGTAATACCTTGATAATACTTAATGTTCATCTACTCAAACAAAACAAATAATTCTTGAGCTGAATAACCATGATTTCCTTTTTATGAAATTAAAAAAGCACTAGATTTTCCATATCTGGTTCATCTGGTCTGCTTCCAAACATCTGCTTGACTCCTGAGGCAAATGAACATAGCACAGCTAGCTTCCGAGTTCTTTCTCTTCAGGCTCTGGCACAGAAGTCATTGTTCAGGGGCAGCAGCTTGGGATGCAGGGCTCACAGCAGCGCTGAGTGTAGGTTGTGAGGTTGAGGGTCTCCAGGTTTGGGGTTGGCTGGCAGGAGTTGAGAAGGAAGCAGGTGGGCACACAGGGCTGAGGGATGTGGCAGGGTGGGGGGCAGTTATCACAGCAGGTTGGCTCCAGTAACCAGGTGGTATGTGGGCAGGTGCTGGGCAGGCAGACTCCGCATCGGCAGCATTTGTCATGGGAGCAGATGGTGGTGGCAGGGCCGGTGGGGACGCTGCAGCATCGGGTAACACAGCAAGCCATGACGTTGGGAATCTGGTTTGCTTTTGGTTTCTTGAAGAAGGAATGAGGTGTCTGTGGTGCAAATGTCTCTTGTCACTTTGAAGCCTTTATATACCCTCACTCCCAGGTGTTGGTCCAACCAGAAAGATTCCTATCCTGATTTTGTCATGCCAGCTTTTCCCACTAAGATTCCCTAATCAGTTTGGTATTTGCCCATTAAGAGTTCTTTCATTTATTAAATTATGTCTTTGACTCAACGACCTATCATCTTTTTTTGTCCTCTTCATAGGGTCCTGGCATACCAAAAGTCACATGACATGTCGATGATAAATTCAAATGACAATTCAGCCACTGTTTCTGTGGCTAAGTGATTTCCTTGCATTTTTCCCTAATTTTGAATAATATGCTTAAGATGCTGTGATTTTTCATTACTAATTTCATAACAAGCAGCTTAAATGATTAATTAGGACCATTTTTCTACCCAGTAAAGTCAACAAGGAAATGGCTACTTAGAGATGAATGCAGCTTTGTGACTATGTGTATCTCAGGCATATTTTTATTGCTTTGTTGGTGGTTCTAGTGAGTCAAACAGAATGGAATCCATGAAACCATTTTTTTCCATTCTTAATACATCTATACTGATTCTTCAAAAGATTGTTTTGATTTGTGAGGTTTTTGGTTTTTTAGGAATCTCTTCTCAAAGTTAGGCCAATCATGTAGTGAATCAAAGTATAACTTCTCTGGAGCAGAAAATGTATCTGATGGCAAATGCTTGTTAAGTGCACTCTTGAAAAAAACCATCTCTGAATAAGTTTTAAGTCTTATTCAGATTAATGTTGTACATACTTTGAGATGAAATAAGAACTAAAAGGAGAATCCATAAACTTTCTCCTTGATCATTTTCCCAGAATAAAGGTTTTTGAAAGGAGATCTAATTCAATTACCTAGAATTATGACATTAATAAAAATAATTTTTAACTGATACAGTCCTTATTTTGCATGTCCATTTGGTTTTGTACATTGACTATCAAAGATTTCACATTCCTTTGAGGAATGCCTTGACCAACATTCTTTACCTCTGTTGGTAAAGATTTTGAGTTCTGTATGTTGGCACATGAAAAGATTAGACTGGCTAATATCCCGTGTGTAACATCCCATGATTCCAACATCTGCACAGCTTCCACCTTCATCAGCACAAAGCTATACAGATCATGTAATCTAAATGGTGTAATTTATTGAGTGGCAAATTGTTGCTGAATGAGCATAAACTGCCGATTCTTTGGTGGGTTGTTTCTGAGAGGACATTACAGGGGCTAGAAACCACACATATAATCTGTTTAAAAGAGAAGAAAACGGAATTGGTGGGCAATGCTGATGTCATTAAATGCAAGTGGTAAATATACATTTCATGTAAGAAGACTTTACTAGTGAAGTTGGTTTGATTTTTTTTTCCCTAAATGTTAATATTTATCACAGGTAAGCATCTGATGGGACTCAAAGACCACACCTCTCTGTTATTTGCATTCACCAGCAGCTCTTCAGGAGAAAGATGGATGCTCGCTCTCCTCCCGTGCATTTTACAGCCTTGGTAAACCTGCAGGAGGGTCAGCTCTGAATCACTTCTTACTCTAGGGCAATGAATTGAGTGTATTTTTGACGTCTTCCTACTTTATTTTCTCTGCTGTGCCAAAAGATGTTGCGTGTTCATTCCTTCTGCCCATGTCCGGTTCTGCTGAATCTTCTAACTTGTCATTTATATTTGTCTTCTTTACTAAGCAGATCTTTGAAAGCAGGAATCGTAATCATTTTTTGTTTCTCTTTAGTACTTAGGACAAAGTCCAGAACATAGTATGCGTCTGAGAAATGTTTATTAAATTTTGTAAGTACAGATTGTTGTTTGTTCTTAGATCCCTGAGTTGCTTCCCCTCATGACAGCCCTCCTCACAACAGAACGAAACGTTTCCCATTCCTGCTCCATCTTCACAATTGCCCTTTGTCTGCAGAGCCCACTGTTGGACCCTCTGTGGAAATTCATCTCGGTCCTGCTCTTTCTCTTTTTTTGTTGACCCTCTGCATGTTTCCCCAGGAACTGGGAGATCCTGTTGATGTGCCCAGACTATGTGAGATGAAGTCTTGGCGTCTTTGCCTCCCATGAGTATTGTGACTGTACCTCTTTCAAATACAGATTAGAACAATAACAACAAAAGTGTTTCCTTTTTAAGCTGCACTACAATCCTGAAGGTACACGGTTCAAATCCACCAGATGCTCCCCTGGAGAAGGATGGACATTCTCCTCCTGTGCCAGTCGGATCTGACTTGATGGCACACAACAACAACAACAAGATAAAGTGTCACTAAAAAAAATGTTTTAAAAAGTGTTTGGTTGTTTTGTTTTTTTTTTTTTTTTTTTTTTTTTTTTATGGACCATGTATATAAGCAGAGAGATTTGTTCCATTTGTGAAGTGCTTTAGAGCTGAGAGTATTACATTCAAATTTTCACATAAGAGTCAATGAAGTAATAAAGTTCAACTAAGTCTTTGGGATCCCTTCTATGAGTATGTGGTCTATAATTTATAGTTTCTCAACTTCTTTAAGGATATGTGTGAGCTGCTTTAGAGAGATAGGGGAACAATGAAAAAGTAAAAAGTAGGTACTGAATTTGGAATTTTAAAAAGGATCTAAATGTAAAGCCAAGGATATTTTATTCTCCAGGCATTGAAGTCCCCCTGTGAGGTCTCCTTGTAGCTATGAGGTTTGTGTTGTTGTTATCAGAAAGTGTAATTCTGCTGGTTTTATTTATAGGTTTATGATGCATGTGTCAAGAGTCCCTGGATAATTATTGTATTAAACATTGAGACAGTGCGTGGCTGCGGGAGCAGAGCAGTGTTTATTTAGTTTTAAACCAGGAGGTCCCTGGTAGCATGTAGGTACTTCTCATTTAAAATCATCTTTCAAAACACATTTGAGCAAAACTAAAAAATGAAGACTTCTTTCCCTCAGAGCTCCCAATAAAGGCCATTTGCATACCAACCCCTGGTGATTGTTGAAGGTTGTTGGAGCTGTGTGAACAAGCCTTTTAGGCATGGCTGGCTAGCAGCAAGGTTCACACTTTAAGCAGGGCTGGATGCAGGTTGTGACAGAGATCCCACTCAGGTTTGGAGTCGGGTGGCAGTTGCTGAGTAGCCAGCTGGTCGGCACGTAGGAGTCAGGTACACAGCAAGGTGGGGGGCAGGTGTCACAGGAGGTGGGCTGCAGGAGGGTGAGCTCATGTGGGCAGGTGCTGGGCAGGCAGACCTCACAGGGGCAGCACACTTCAGAGGAGCAGATGGTGGTGGCTGGGCCCAGGGGGACACTGCAGCATGCTTGGGGACCAGACTCACAGCAAGACATGGTGGCAGTGGCTCATCAGACTGATGTTGCACAGGCTACTTCCTTCTATGGAATCGCCCTATGTGGGTCTTTTATATCCGTCCGTCTCAGGGAACATGGTTTCTCCCCCTCAGTAGGTTTCCTTGTTTATTTGTTATTGTTTGTGTGTTCTCACGCAGATAACTCACCAACTTCTTATTTATCAGCCACATGACGAGCTCTCCTTTAGTTTTATTTGGTTGTGTTGCTCCATTCAAGCTTGCTTCCTGTTGCAGTTTCAAAATGGTGTCTCTGTTTACTCAGTCATATACAAACACATCAGGAGCCACCCTAGCTGTCTTCTTTTTGACCTACCAGAATTTGCTCTTAAAAGTGATTATGATGGAGTATAAAGAATCCAGTCCCCGAGCACTAAAATATGGTCCTTCTCAAAGTGTGTCTCCAAAATAAATCTGGGAAATCAAAATGCATAGGGACTTTAGGTTGGGTTTCTTTTTTAAAAAATACTAGTTTATTTATAAAATTTGAATACATCGTTTTTGAGAACTGATTCTTCCAATTTCCTTCACCCGCTAACCCATCAAATGATACAACTCCATGATTAATTTTCCCCTCCCCCTGCACATCTTCATCCCTCTGTTTCCATCCTCCCGCACCCCTTTGGATCCTTATACTCATTCTGCAGTAATGGTTTTATACAGTATTTGTCTTTGTGGTAATGAGTTAGTTCACTCAGCACAATGCTCTCCAGTCCCTCGCAAGTTAGCTAATAATTTACTAAATCATTGCTCCTGCGTGCTGCATAGTATTCCACTGTGTGTGGGGTGTTTTTAAATTTTTTTTTGTTGTTGTTTTTGTGTGAGTGTACCGTCAAATCAGATCTGACTAGTACAGGAGGAGATTGTCCCTCCTTCCCCAGCAGAACATCTGGTGGATTCGAACCATGCGCCTCTGGGATTGTAGTTGCAGCTCCTTGCCACTAGGCCACCAGAGCTCCCCCCACTGTGTGTTTTTTAAAACTAGATTTATCTAGTCTCCTTCTTATGAATTTGAGAGCATAATAGAATATGTGATCTTGATTGGGAAATGCAGAGAATTGCTAGGTAATTTCCTCCACCAACCCTCCCCATTGTTATGAATGCAATTGTGTAAAAATTTAAAGAGATTGGATGTTTTAACTACCATGGGAACAGATTAAGCACAGGTGGATGGGAGTGTATGTGGGATGAAAATGGAGCTTTCTTCTTGAAAAACAACATGAACTATGTCCTCTTAGAAAATCCCATAAAAGTGCCTACCTACCTCTTCCATTGTCTAAAATCTTTGCTGGGCTTTCTAGTTTACCTCTTGCAGAAAAGACAAGTCCTTTTAATATCCCTTGTACTTCAATTCAATCACATTATTATATGTCATGGATAAGGCTAGTGTGTAACTATAGTAATGGGGACTGATCAGCAAATATATATTTGCTACCAATCATATATTTACTGAGTCCCTATGTTCTTAACCAGAAACTCTGATGGCCCAATGTTTAAAAGCTGCTAACCCAGAGGCTGATAGTTGGAGTCTACCAGCTAGCTGCCCCATGGAATAAGACACAGCAGACTGCTCCTTAAAGTTTCTGGCCTTACTTTCATCTCCCACCCCAGTTAGAATTGACCTTTTTCTCAGTTGTGTCTCTGTTACACCTCATATGCCCCCAAGGCAATTGATTGTATCTTTTTGTACATATATACATACCTTTCCTGGGCTGTAATCCCCTCAGAGTCAGGGAACATGTTTATTTTCTTATTTCTAGTGTTTAACATAGTCAAATAAATAGAATGAGTCAAATAAATATTTAAACAAAACCAGCAACTAGCATGTATTGAATGCTTCAATATTATGATTCATTAGTAAAAGAAACAAATAAAGTCCCACGGAGCATTTGTATTTGATACACCAAGATGAGTAAACATGTATTAGAGGACCGAAAAATAGGGAAATAAATCTGAGATCAGACAGTAAATAGTTACTAGAAGAGAAGAGATTGGAGTAAGAGCAATTTACCCACTAAAACCCACTGCAAGTTAATTCCAACTCAGAGACCCTCCGTTGGGTTTTCTAGGCCATGTGTCATTACAGAAGAAGACTTCTAATCTTTCTCGCAGGGAGTAGCTCGTTGGTGGATCCAAACCACTGACTTTTCGGGTAGCAGTGCAACATGTAACATACCATGCTATCAGAGCTCTTTATAAGCTCTGAAAAATGTCCCTGCAGAGCTGAGCTCACAGCTCTTATGGGGAATGCATTTACAGAAGCTCAGAGGAGAGGGTCCAATAGGATCAGTTTTATATTTGTAGGGATTCAGGGAGATCATTAACCTGTAGATACTGGTATTTCTTAGGAGATGCGATGAGACCATCTTTGGGGCTATAGAAAGAAGCTGGAGACTAGAATCAACTGGTGTGGACATTCACAGCCAAGCCATATTGCTCTAAGTACTACACATACTTTAATTAATTAATCATAATCAGAATTTTATGAGACTTTTTCCACTCTAATTTAACATTTTAGGAACCTGAGGTGTGGATAAATTAAATTGCATGACCAACACCGTTAAGAAATTATTGTTTTTGTTGTGTGCCATTGAATCAGAACTGATCATAGCTGACCGACCTCTATCTGACCCCCCACTACCCCAGCAGGTTTTCAGAGGCAGGAAACTTCAGGGAAGGAGACTTTCTATCTTCCCACAGAGCAGCTGGTAGATTTGGGATTGCAGACCAGCTGCTTTTTTTTTTAAAGGTTTTTATTTTTTTTTAATTATTATTAAATTTTATTAGTTTCAATGAACATTCACAGGGATTCTGGGCTTTCACTCCTTCATTGCCGCACCATTCTCTCCACCCTCCTCCCCAGTTTGTTCTTCTTCCCCGCCATCCGAATGTCTGTTTTAATTGTCCAATTGCCACAGTGCTTGTCAAAGTCAGTTCTGATTAATCTCCTTTGTTGGTGTGTCCTTTGCCATTCCCTATCACTCCTCCCTGAGTCATAAGGAAAAGGGGATGGCGTATTCTCTTAGCTACTTCCTGCTGAAAAGGGACGCTGTGGGTTTCAGGGTGAAGATCTTCTCTCACTACTCTAAAGGGCCCCTTTGGCAGTAGGAAACACATAGACTATTATGGAGATTGATTTTGGAATTTAGATGCACTCTTATTGATTGTGCTTGGCTGTACATGTTCATATCCTTGAAGATGTATCATGGGGATGTTGCAACCTAGAAGACACAAATTTGACTAACAGGTTATAAGTACATGAGTCAAAAATTATGGAAAAGTAAAAGAAAGGAGCAGACCAGCTTCTTACTATTAAGATACCAGACCCCTACAGAAATGATAAAGGTGTGATTTAAAGCAAAACAGCTTGGAATTAGAGATTTCTTTCTTAACCATTCTTCTATAGGTGGTATTGTTCTAACTACAGTGTAGGTTACAACTTACTCGGCAATTTGTTGTTTTGCTTTTGTTTTTTTCCCCTATTGGTTTTTTTTACAAATTCAAATACAAATTTGAACAAATTCTTTCAATTTCCCTCACCCCCCCCCATCAAATTGTACAACCCAATGATTAACTCCCCTCCCCCTGCACATCCACATCCCTCTGCTTCCAGCCTCTCCCACCCCTCCTGGATCCTTATAGTCATTCTACAATAACGGTTTCATACAATATTTTTCCTTATGTGACTGATGAGTTAGTTCACTCAGCATAATGCTCTCCAGTCCCTCCCAAGTTAGGTAATAATTTACTAAGTTATTGCTCCATTGTGTGAATGTACCATAATGTCTCAATCCATTCATTTGTGGTTGGACAGTTGGGCTGTTTCCATCTTCTTGCAATAGTGAATAATGCTGCTATGAACATTGGTATAAAAATCTCAGTTTGTGCCTTATTTCTCATATTCTCAGGGTATATTCCAAGTAGTGAAATATCTGGGTCATATGGAATTTCTATGTTCAGCTTTTTGAGGAAGCACCACACTGCCTTCCAGAATGGTTGCACCATTTTACAATCCCACCAACAATGTATAAGAGTTCCTTTCTTGCCACACCTTTTCCAACATCTGTTACTTGCTGCCCTGTTAAACTTTGCCACTCTTACTGGATTGAGATGGTATCTCACTGTGGTTTTGATTTGCATCTCTCTTATTGCCAGTGATTTGGAGCATAACTTCATGTGTCTGTTTGCCATTCAAATATCTTCCTCTGTGAAACTTCTTTCCATGTCTTTTGCCCATTTTGTGATTGGGTCATCAATCTTTTTCTTGTGGAAGCCCAGGAGTATTCTGTAAATTTTTGTTATAAGACTTTTGTCTGAGATGGTATTACCAAATGTTTGTTCACAGTCTAGGTTTTCTTTTCACCCTGTTGGAAAAAGTTTTTTATGTGCATAGAGATTTAATCTTCAGAAAATCCCATGAATCAATTTTATCATCCTTAGATTGTGCATTTCTGGTTGTATTTGGCAGTCTCATTATGCCTTGGACTATCACTTCTAAGTTTGATCTCAGTTTATCTCTTAAGACCTTTAGGTTTTATGTTTGACCTGATCTCTGATCCATTGTGAGTTAATCTTTGTGTATGGTGTGAGATGTGGATCCTGTTTCAGTTTTCTGCAGGTGGAAGTCCAGTTTTGCCAGTACCATTTGTTGAAGAGGTTATTATTTCTCCATTAGATACCTTTGATTTCCTTGTCAAATATCAGTTGACCATAGATAGCTTGGTCTGTTTCTGGGTTCTCAATTCTTACTCCACAAATTGTAAGATTTAATAATTGGCCCAAATTATTGAAAGTTTTAAAAGGTTTAGCCATGATAGGTAAAAATACAAATTTTGAGTAAGCCAAAATATGTGAGCAATCCAATTTAATTAAAGTTGATGGTGGTGTTGTTATGTGCTATCAAGCAGAACCAACTCATAACTCAAAGCTGACCCTCCAGTTTTCAGATCCTGTATATAGCATAAGGGGTAGATTTGAACTTCT